TATTCTCCTAACAATTTTCAACCGGACATCTGTTCACGTGCGACCCAGCCTGTCCGGACTTTTAACGAACGAGGCAGCCGACCGGTGTAACCGTTCCTTTGACACACTTCGTTTGTTCTGTTTCGTCGCTGCTCTTCTGCGTCCGAACCGCTTCACATCCTTATTAAAACGTCTGTGTCTAACTGAACCCACTCCAATCGCGAAGCAAGAAAACCACCGTGCCGGACGAGCCGTACTCAAAAACTGACAAAGCTGAGCAACCAGAACCCAGAAGATCAATAGATCAATAGGCCAACCACATGAAAGGACATAGTCATGAATGGTGAGCAGTCTAGCTCTGAACGACTGTCGTGCGTGTGTCCAACACAATCATGTGACGAGACAGTCACGAATGTCAAACTATCTAGCTGTGAGCGACTGTGATACGCAAATCCGACTAGCACCTCACTGCTTTAAACTGAACAGAATAGCACGCTACATTTGCTTGGTATGCTTTACGTCTTAGGTTCTCTTCGAGTCTCTGCACTGGCGCTCTTATTCGAGTTGAGTCTCTTCCATCTGTAGTTAGGTTTTCTGGTTGGACGACAGGCTCTTCCGACAGGGTAATTTGATACGTATCCAGCAAGATGTCTAACGGTAGTGAAGCTTCCTGTTTTTGGGATGTCCCTTGCACTTCAAAACGGGTGTAATAGGATGTACTTGGCTAGTCCATATGATGGAAGCCACTTGTATCCTGTACAAAACACTTGAAATCCGTTCCACCATACGACCAGGAATCCAGGATGATCCCCGTCACGAAAATTCTTTACGTACACACTATCACCAGGTGCGAAATGCCGAGAGCATGTTCCATGGTGGCGATTAAAAGCCAACTTTATTTTAACATTGCACTCTCCTTTGTGTAGCGATGGCTTCGAAGCATCAAGGACCGTTCTGACACGCCTACCGAGAAACGCTTCGGATGGGGATATGTTTTGAGGTATTGCTGGACCTGGCGTCGTACAGTAAATCTGCAAAAATTTGTCGATGATTTCCTGCATATTCCCCTCTTCTTCCATTTTAATTAATGCTCGCTTAAACATATCGACAAAATGTTCAGCCTGCCCGTTTGACTGTGGATGGTACGCTGGAGTGCGTATGTGTTCGATGCCATGTGAGTTGCAAAAGTCGGCAAATTCTTGAGAAGTGAATTGGGAACCATTGTCCGAAACAATCGTTTCGGGAACACCGAATTCTGAGATAAGATGGCGTAGGTGTAACAAAACAGCGGAAGTGGTTGCGTATCTCATTTGAAAAATTTCAGGCCACTTTGAGTAAGCATCGACAATTACCAGATAGTGGAAACCCTCCAAGGGTCCGGCAAAATCAATATGAATGCGAGACCATGGTCCACTTGGAGTTTGCCAAGAATGAAGCTCACATTTGACAGGTAGTTTTGCTGCCATAGCACAGCTGTTACAGGAACGAACCACATTTTCAATATCCTGGTCCATGAATGGCCAGTAGGCATAGCTGCGGGCTATGGATTTCATACGACTGATTCCCGGGTGACCTTCGTGGAACTGACTGAGAACCTTCTTCTGTAGAATCTTAGGAATCACAACTCGGTCAGATAACATCAAGCAACCATCAGTGGTGGTTAAGGCGAACTTCCTTTTACGAAACTGCTCACCATAGCTGTCCAAGGAACGTGCAGGCCAACCAGTGCTAAGGTACCCCATAATACGTTGTAACAGGGGATCTCTTGCTGTTTCTATTCTAACTGCGTCTGCTGTTACTGGAAGTTGACGTACAGATGTTTGAAATACTTGTCTAATCTCGGGATCTAAGGTAATGCTGGACACAACAATGTCTTCATCCGGTGTCATGGACGTGCAATCGGCAATCAGACTGGGTAATGCGTCAGCATGACCAAGCAAAGTGGTACTTTTAAAACGCAAATCGAAATCGTATGCTAATAGGGTGGTTGCCCAACGCTGCAATCTGTTTGCCGTGTGAACGGGGATTCCTCATTTGGTGCCAAAAATAGATAGCAAAGGTTTATGGTCTGTGTACAAAGTAAATTTGCGTCCATGTACCATCTTATGAAATTTCTTAACCGTAAACATGAGAGCTAGTCCTTCTTTCTATATCTTATTGTAGTTCTTTTCTGCTGCTGTCAGTGCGCGGGAAATATGCATCGCAGCCTTTTGATATCCACTCGGGAACTAATGCAACAAGATACCACCGATACCGTTTTGCGATGCATCAGTAGCGACAATTATTGTTAATCCTGGGTCGTAATGTGTTAATAGGAGATCGGAGGACAATATTTTTGTTTAATGTCCTCAAAGGCTTTCTGGCACTGCGAGGAGCAATCCCACACTGATTCCATTGCCAACAGTGCATTTAGTGGGGCCCGGAGTTCGTGCAGCTGAGGGACAAAGTTGTGCTAATAGTTAACTAGACCCAAGAAAGGCTGCAAAGTAGCTTTGTTCATAGGGTATGGCATTAACTTGATGGTTTTTCTGTTGTTTGGGTCTGGCCGACGATCGGAACTGTCGACAACCGAGCCAACGTATGTGATACTGGGCATCATAGGCCCGCATTTCTCTGTAGGTGCACGAAATCCGTATGAATCTATCCTGGAGAATACATCCTGCAGGTGGGTGTAATGATCTTCACTGGTGGAGCTTACAATTATTATGCCATCCAAATAAGCCATGGCACACTGTAATTCTGATAACATAGCGTCCACTACTTGTTGAAAGATCGCTGGAGCACATTTTATTCCGAAAGGTAACCGATTGTAACGATACAAGCCTCGATGAGTATTAATAGTCAGTAGTGCTTTTGAGCGTCTCACGACCACTACTTGCAAGTACGCAACAGAAAGATCAATTTTAGCTAAGCTTTTTCCTCCATTAAGCTGTGTGAATAAATCATCGGGAACAGGTAAGGGATATTGATGCGTTTCCAATGCGTTATTTAATCCGGTAGAAAAATCAGCACAAATACGCAAACTGCCATTAGCATTTCTGATGATTAGAAATGGAACGGCCCACGCTGATCAGCACGCAGAACTGATAACGCCCATGGACTCCATTCGACTAATTTCGGTATCCACGGCCTCAACACAGTGTATGGTACTGGTCTTTTGTGACAATATATTGAACGTACACCGGTAAGCGGATACAACACAGATTTTTTCTTAGAACATATTCCAAGACCTGCAAAAGCATTGGGGTACTTAGAGGCACAAATGCGCTAAAGCTTCTGCACTGTCTTTAAACATTACGGGTGCAACGGAACACTGAAAATCGTTGGGACATAGTGAAAAACTATCGGGGTTATCACAAATACTGTTCAAAGGTATGCTCCATAAATTAAGTTTGTCTATTCAATCTATGCCTAACAAATTCAAATGTTCATAACGTGTAACGTAACAAATACCATTAGCATGCAAATCACAAAGTGCAAACTCACAATTGAACTGATCAAGAAAGGGTACTTTCGAGCCGGATGCTTCGTGAGCGACGTGTGAAGTTTGGATACATGTGGGTTTATCGAATTTGCTCCATGTCGACTCAGAGATTATTGGAATATCGGAAGCCGTGTCTAGTTGAAGCCGGATAGAAACACCGTTTATCACAATCGTAGCATAATTTCGCAGTGACTGATAGTTCGGGCTGGTGGTTGCAAACATCATATTTGAAACACAACGTTGCAAACTTGGAATTTTGGCGAAGGTTCCTGACAGTCTTCCAGAGGCTCACTGCAAACATCCGGTTTCCTTATGTACCATATTCCCACAACGCTTGCAAATATATCGTCTGAATTCAAAAAATCGAGCGAAATGTCACTGACCACAATGCCAACAAGCACTAGGCGGACAGCCGCGGCGTGCGAAGTCGGAGAGATGTACTGAATTGTGCGATGGCCTTGGGCGTGTAGGAATAGTATGAACATCCACCACACAAGACTCGTTATGCCGCTGGATCATTTCTGTGTCATGCTTCAGTGTCAACATACGTTCACATTCCTGTACCAGCTCCTGTAGTGATACTTATGGATTGGACTCCAACCGAGATAACAAACGTGTTCGAATCTCCGCATTTTTTGGAGAACGTAATCCACAAACAAAAATAAGCGTTTTAAACTGATCACTTGTGAGTGTGCTAAGCTGAAAACGTTCACATTCCCTGTTAACAAGAGCTGCATAAGTCACAAAATCATTCTCTCGGGGTTTAACTACTTGAGAACATCGGAAAGTTATGTTGAAAAGTGAAGGCTTAGGGCCGAAAATGCTGGGCAAGTGTTTCACAGTGTCGTCCAATTAGAGTTAGCGTGGGTTCTTGGCTAGAATGTAATTAGAATACTTTTCATGTTTTGGTAGATCCAATTTCCTCAAAAGAAGAAGCACCTGAGTTGCATCGCCTAGCTCATGCCAATCAACTTGTAACAAGTTTTCATAGGAGCGAATCCATGTTTCGAAAGTAAGGTCATCCTCCGGCTGGTAATGAAATTCTGTGATAATGTGCGCCATTGTCTGCAGTGGAAATCGTTGAATACGTAGATGCTGACTCTAACAACATTCGTGTTGTCAATGTTTCAATTAAGCGCTGCTGTGACGCCTCAAACTGTGCTCGCTGTCTGGACAGCACTTCTTGTAGAAATTCCAAAGGGACCGTCATGGTTCCCCGTCGCCAGTCTCTTACAACGCCTGACTGTAACTGAACCCACTCCGAACGGTAAACAAGAACTCCACCGTGCCGGACGAGCTGGATTCAAAAACTGACAAAGCTGAGCGACCGAGACGCAAAAGATCAATCGATCAATAGGCCAACCACATGAAAGGACGTAGTCATGACTAGTGAGCGGTCTATAGGTCTGAACGACTGTCGTGCGTTTGTCCAACACAATCACGTGACGAGACAGTCACGGATGTTAAACTATCTAGCTGTGAGGGCCTGTGAGGCGCAAGCCCGTCTAACAATCCTTCCATAATTGAATTCCTCAAGGCGTTAGTGAGTTGGCGTCCGTTCCTCATTTAAATGCGTTCACGTGCCCGCTGCTGCTGCCTCTTAGACCCTGTGCTGTAGCATGCAAATCTGATGTTGACAAGTGATTACGTGACCACATAGAGTGCGTTAGTCTGTATCATCAAATGTTTGTTTGTTTTTAGAGTGTTGTTATGGTGATATGTCAGCGAATTTATGCCAAAGCTTCATCCAGTTTTTATTGCTTTTACCCTACTCTCTCCTCCGATTATCTAACATTTCGTGTAATGTTTTCTCACGTGTCTATTCTGAGTCACTTCAGTGCTTTGCACTGCTTCAGTGAGTTCTGCTTCACTGTTTCGCAGCAATACAAAAGTATCTTGATGGATTCCAACTGCTAAGTTTCAGTAATACACAGCAACTATCATGTGGGTTAAATGATGTTATTCTGTTGTCGATCAACTTCGCTAGCTGCCATTTTGCCTGCTAATGTAATCGGTGACTTGCTCGTACTACCTAGGCATAATCGAGAACAGGAACCGCTTATTCGCATTCAATAAACCTTATCGGATTCGCCTTCACCTTAGCTACCGGAGACTACCATTTATCCCTGTTCAACAAACATGTATTATGGCAACGGTATGCATAAGATACGGTGTTTATCATGGTTGCACATAACTTCCGTGGTCCTCAAACTCAATATGCTTCCGTGTAACATACACTAGGGCAGCTAGGGGCACGACTACATTACGGTATCAGTGCGCGGGCTTCGACATTACTCAAAATCATGGAGTAACCAGGGCAGTTAGGACGCCGTATCCACCTCATCGATGGTGTGCATTCGTTCACATGTGACTAAATCTCTATAGCCAAATACAACCATCACACCATCTCCTACTGCACGGCTCGCATTGCACCGACCGAGGTTCTCACTCGTGTCCACGGCACGCGACCGCTATTACATGTAAGGGTAGGCGCTCACGGCTTTTGCTAGTATCCATTGAGATGTACATGTTGCCACCAGCACTTTGCGCCATTTGGCCCCTGCTTTAGCAGAGCCGTGGGTTAAGTTGTTGACCACGGGGTCTCAAAGTGAGAATAGACCCAAGCACTCCGAGCGCGCGCGGCCTGTGTCTGCGGTATACGAGGCTTGCATGTATGACCGGCATCAATAACATCACTGAAGTCAACTACAATGGCAGCTGCAGTGCGGTCTGGGGAGGCGGACGGCAGTTAACTGGTCGTTAGCTAGGGAATTGAGTGTTGCCCGTGCTGCATAAACACGTAACGTGCACGCACAGCTACTGTGGGGAAGAAATGAGGCTACGTTGGCTAACCTAGTGTTAGATGGACTCACGCATGAATGCCGTTCACTGTTGTACAGTTTGACCATTTGTTTCCTGTTCCCTCACTTGATTGATTGATTGATTGATCTGTTGAGCTCTGTATATTCTGTTAGCGCGTGTCCTTTTTCAGGACAGCTCGTTCTCACGCGGTACCTTCTTGTTTCCAGTGATGTTAACTTACATGCTCTAGAATCCCAGGCCACACCAGGAGAGCAATTCATAGCAGACCTGCGAGATCTTGTCTGATTTTCCACTTTCTGGCCACGTCACTTCGCCCACCAGATTCTGCGAAAATAACAGGCCATCCATATTTGACAGAATGTTCACTAATGACGAACTGGTGACCGGGGGAGTAATAATCAGTACTCCTCTAGGCCGCAGTGATCATGCGACTTTGTATTTCGTGTACACTTGCTACGCTGAATGTCCCGAGGACCGGACTCAAACAACGAGAATCGGAACCACTTGTGACACACTAACCCGACTCGTTGTGACGACTGGCTGGAGTTTCCTAACCGAGAATGCATCCGATAATGCCTGGAAACGTTTCGTCAGTAACTTTAGCACCTTGGTTAGTGGAGGGTCGAAAACCAAGACTACCAGTTCCAGAAACATGACGTCGTGTATACGGAGTGGGACACGCAAACTCATGGTGATGCGTAACGCACCGTGGTATACCCGCAAAACCGATCCGAGTCCGAGTACCTGGAAGGCAGACGTTGTCCATCGTAACCACTGTACCAAATTATCGCGCGAGGACAAAGTAGCTTATCAACATGCTTTAGCCGAGCGATTAACTGCAAATCCTAAGCTTCTGTACAAGCAAGTGAACAGCCTCTTCAAGGTGAAAAGTGGATTTCGCCTCTGCAAACAGCGAATGGTCTAACTCGGACTGCTAAAGAAGCGTCGAATGTTCTGCAACAAGAATATGCACCAACGTTTCATCCCATCCCTTGGGCTCCTGAATCTTTGGAATCTATAGTGCCCACATCAGGACTCATTCATATAAATTTTGCGGCAGACGTCGCGATGAGAATGCTTCTATTCATGCGCCTGCAAGCCTTTCCAGGAATTGACGACATCCGCCCGAAGTTGTTTGCTGTGGCGCCTACTATTTTGGCTGAATCTTTGGCGCGGCGATTTTAACACTGCCTTGACGAGCGCCACGTTCCTGCAATGCGGAAAGACGGAATAAAAACTCCTTTACAAATGGGGGTAGTCGTTCCCCACCCAGCTAATTCTCGACCAGTGACTCAACTACCGGTTCTTTCAAAAGTTATGGTGGCTATCATTGCCGACGCACTGATGTCTTATCTGGACGACTTTGATCACATTGCTCAGCAGCAACACGGCTTCCACCAGAATCGGTAGTGCACAACCAATTTATTCCTAGCATGAGACAACTGGACTGAAATGATGAACGCTGACGCAGGAGCTGATGTGGTTTGTCGACTTGTGTAAGACATCCGACCGGTTGGACCATTGCATCCCACTCACCAACCTTCAAGAAGGTGGCATTGGGGACCCTCTCCTCGGGTGGATCTGCAATTTTCTCCCGCACAGGCGTCTGGAGGTGATATTACATGAATTAATGTCGAATACTGAGTATCACCGGGTTCGGTATTGGGCCCCGTCTTTTCTTCGACTTCATAAATGATCTAGTGAGTCAACCTGCGTAAAACTGTTTACGCTACACCGATGACATCAACGTTTGGCAAAAGATCAGAACTCCAGAAGACCGTATCCAGCTTCAAATCGATCTTGGCAAGATGGATGGATGGTCAGTCCAAATTCGCCTACTCTTTAATGTGGCTAAATGTCGAGTGCTCCATTTAAGACTCCGAATGGTTCGCACATTTAAGCTGGAGGACCAGAATCCGCCACCTTGTTCGCTTGAAAAGAATCTCGGTGTGTAGGTTCAGGAAGATCTCGGCTGCTGGGAGCAGTTTAAAGAGGCGTCGAAGGAGGGGATGCAAATCGTGGGGCTTTTACCGAGAGCTTTAGGACCATTCGAACCGTCGATTTTCCGCCAAATACTTCCCCCTTGTATGCGCCCACATGTTGAATATGCGGTTCAAGTATGGCACGCATGGCTAAAGCGGGATCTAACGGTCTTGTAGTTTCCACAACGTCGGGCGACCAAAAATGTCAAGGAGCTGCGCTACCTGTCATACGAACAGCGCCTAAGAGTGCTTGGCATTTTCAATAGACGTTATGACCGTTTGCGTTTTTTACCAAATATTTAACAACCCTAATCACCCGTGCCATCACCAGTTGAAGGTGAGTCACAACAGCCAACTGAGAGGTCATCAGCTCAAGTTGGCAGAACAATACAGTCGGTTGGAGTGTCGAAGAAACTTCTCGCTGCGTGTTTGCCACACGTGGAATATCCTCTCAGAAGCTGTTATTTCAGCCCCACGTTAGCCGTGTTCAAAGCACGTGTCGACAGCGCACTGACCACACTAAACCATATCACGTAATCCAAACGACCCACACAAACAGCAGAAAAGGAAAAGAAACCAACCCACTTCCATTTCTGTCCAGAAACCACAGACGATAACCTTGGATAGTACGCAAAACGGACGGGAACGTTGTAATCAGCAAGTTCGCAATTTGCAGTTGTTTACTATTTCCTGTTGCCATTTTTGCTTTTATTTTGCTCACGCCTAACCGATCGTCCTGCGAGACATGTCAAACTCCAACTTTTTTAACCGCAGTATACCATTGACCATTGAGTGGGTTGCGGTTAGCAATATCAAGCAGCAGAAAAAGTACAGTCGAATGGAGAAAGAGGGACTAGCTCTCGTTTTCGCGGTTAAGAAATTTCATAAGATGGTACATGGAGTTAAAGTTACTTTGTACCTTTGCTCTCAATTTTTGGTACCAAACTAGCCATTTCCGTTCGCACGACGAACTGAGTACAACGTTGGGAAACCACTATATTAGCTTACCATTTCGATTTTGGTTTTGAAAGTGCATCTTCGCTTGGTCACGCTGACACATTATCCAGATGGATTACGGACTGCGCTTGCAAGACTCCGGATGAAGATATGGTTGTATTACCTTTGCATTCAAGATTAGACAAGTGTTTTAAACACCGGTACGCCAGCTTCCAGTAACAGCAGATGCAGTCCGAATGGAAGCAGCAAAGTTCCTCTGTTACAACATATTATTGGGTACCTTAGCACTGGTTGACCTGCACACCCTTTGGACAGCTATGGTGAGATGTTCCGTAAAAGGAAGTTCGACTTAATCACCACTGATGATTGCTTGATGTTGTCTGACCGACTTGTGATTCCTAAGACTCTACAGAAGAAGGTTCTTAGTCACTTTTACATAGGTCACCCGGGAATCAGTCGTATGAAATCCGTAGCTCGCAGCCATGCCTACGGACCATTGATGGACCAGAATATTGAGAATGTTGTTCGTTTTGTAACAGTTGTGCTGACAACAAAACTACCCGACAAGTGTGAGCTTCATTTTTGGCAAATCTCAAATAGACCATAATCGCGCATTCATATTGATTTTTCCGGACCCCTGGAAGGATGCTACGCTCTGGTACTTGTGGACGCCTATTCAGGGTGGCCCGAAATATTACAAATGAGATACGCAATCACTTTCGTTGTTTTGTTACACCGACGCCATATTGTATCTGAATTTTGTGTCCCGCAAACGAATTTT